TTGAGAGAATGCAATGGATAAGTCATAAACCAAATATCTGTTAACTGTTCAATGTAAAACTAATTATCTGCTCTGTAACTTTCACCTAGTCACAATTTAAAAGTTTAAAATTAAAAATAGTTGAGTTGCAGAAGAATGTCTAAGATCCTGTGGATGGAGAGAGCAGGACATCCGGCCTCTGGGGGGTTACGGTCGTGTGGCGAGCAATGAGAGACTGGATTCACATCGGGTGACATTGAGAAGGGCAAGAAGATTTGTGTTCAGAAGTGGGCCAGTGCCACCCTGACAAAAGGGGGTGCAAACACAAGCCTGGGCTAAATGTGAATGGTTGCTTTGGGCAGAAGACCGGTCCAGCCCCTGGATTCACTTGGGTGCCAAGAACAGAGGTATCACCTGGGAGAGAGTATTTGGAGACTCCCAAGAAGTCCATCCCTGGAACAGGAATGATCTTAACAAGAAGGGAGAAAGGGCAGACTTGCTTGCCTATCTCAAGAAAGCTACTAATGAGTAATAAATGGCCACTGCCTTATTGATTATAAAATAGGAATGTCTATTTTATGTACCATATTTAAATTGAACTCATGCACCAGAAATCAGATCATGAATGATCGATAGATTATTGTAGTTGGACAGTCTTAAATTAAATTAAGTGACTCTGATCAAACTTTTAACTTTTTGACAGAAATTTCTATTCAGCAAGTGTTCTCACTGATTTGCCCTAAGATGTGATTGGACTTTGGGGGCTAGGTTGGCTTGCTAATGTTGAGTTTCTCACAAAGATGGTGAATGCTAGCTTGTAACCTACAGATTGTTGTATGTTTAGATTTATATATCTGATTATATGATTCTATTTTAATACTGGGAAGTCTCGACACTGCCTCATGGAACAGAACAAGACGTGCCTATTTACATTTGCATTCAGGAGCCTGTGTAAATGCAAGGGTTGGAGATAAGGTAGCAATGGTCACTTGGTCTTGTTGCTCTTAGATGTGTTAATCTAATTAAAATTTCCTGTCTAAAATACTGTCTTTTAATTAACAAAAAGCATTTCAGTGTGAGTTGTATATGATATCAAATAAAGAATATTTAACCCTTCACATTTTATAGAAGATTGCTAAGGTCACATGCTTTAAATGTCAGCATGATGAGATAGCAAGTTGAACTTTGTGTTTAAATTCTTAAGTTTTAATTCATGATACGTCTTTCAAACAGCTATGCAAAAACACATAAAACTTTTAAGCTACTGTATATGTGATTAGTGCTTTTAGAAACTCATGAGAAAGAATCAGGTAGAAGAGATATCCTACTGGCACACATTTGTAAATTATGTAACGAGATTTAAGATAATTACAAAGTCAGACTTAAAAAATATATCCTGTAGATGTAGATCTAGTTTTCATTTACAAAAAGAGTCTGTATGGTAGTTTGCATAAATCTGCATATATTTTGTGTATGCACTTGCATGTAACTTGCATGTGTTTGTAAAAACTGGGAAACCTCTAGACAACTATATATCAATTTTCACATTATTTGATGAGAAATATCATGAATTTTTTTCTTAATCTTGCTACTTATTTCCATAAGCATTCATTGTCTGAGGTCTTGGATGTTAAAAGAGAAGTGTAAAATAGGAGGACATTCTTCTAGATTTTAAAATGTCGTATACAAAATCCAGACAAAAGAAAACGAGGAAGCCGGGTGGATATGCACAGTGCTGATATTGTAGGAAATGCAGTCAAGAAGCACTTTGCGTATAAACCATACAACGGAAAACTAATTCTCTCTGTAAACTCTCACCTAAAGCACAACCAAAAAGTGTTTACTAAAATAAAACAAAATTTACAACTATAGTAATCCAAAAATCCCTGAACTGTTATAATAATAGACATATCGACTAATGGAATAGAAGTGGAAGTCCAGAAATAAACCCACACTTCAATGGTCAGCTGAGTTTGGACAAGGGTTTTAAGTCCATTCGATGGAGAAAAGAGTCTCTCCACTAAGTAGTGCTGGGAAAATTGGATTTCCCCATGCAGAAAAAATGAAACAGAGTCTTTGCATTACATAAAGCACAAAAACAAATTCAAAGTGGATTAAGAACATAAATGTGCAAACTGAAACTATCAAATTCCTAGAAGAACACTAAGGGTCAATCCTGTCTGGACTAGTTTTCTCTCTTTCTTTCTTTTGTCCAGGGCTAGTTTTCAACAGTACAGTTGTTTTTTTAAGCACAAACAGCAAAATATAAAATAAATAAATGGGGCTTCATAAAAATTAAAACTTTTGCTCATTAAAAGATTTACCAAAAAAAAAAAAGACAAGCTCCTGATTGAAAGACTATCTTTAGAAAATATAGATCTAACAAAAATCTTAATAACCAAACTACACCTAAAACCTCAACCAATCTAAAAACAAAAAGCGACCCAAACATAAAATGAAGAAATGACTTGAAGGAGACATTTCATCCAAGAGAACATTCAATGAAGACATGATGCTGAGTGAAATAAGTCAGTCACAGAAGGGCAAATACTGGATAGAGAGACAAAAGGACGTGATACAGAGAACACAGTTTATTAGAGACTACCACCCACAAGAGAAAGGGAGAAGGGGCGAGCAGATGGGGGCGATCGCATTGAGTACGGCTCTGGCTATGCAGCTGGTTGTTGTCACTGCTGTCATTACGTGGTATAACCATCAACAATGGAATTGGGAAAAGTTGTGATGGATATAATGAAGACAGGCGACAACAACAACAGAGTCGCTGCTGCAGCTCCCTATGGGATTTGGTTCCTTGATTTGGTGTTTTAGGGTCATGGTTTCATGAGACATCCCAACAAACAAGCCTAATCACCTATTATTTAATGCTTCAGTTCTGACTGCTCGTTCATTGTGTAACGGCTGCGAGCTTTAAAGCTTTCAAACCTCCATCCAAGGCACGACTGGTCTCTATTCGCTGGAGCATCAAAAGAAAAAGGCGAGTCAGGAGTAGGAGGGAGATGTGGTGTGTGTGGCTAATTACGGCCATGAACAACCGCCTCCTTTACCATGAGAAGAGAAGAACTGGATGGTGCCTGGCTACTCCTGCCGAAAGTTTTATTCAAAGATTTGCAGAAATCTTGGATTAAAAAAATAAAGGAAATGCAGAACAGAATTTAAAACTCTCCTGGGTTCTAGACTCTCTGGAGCTATAGAGGGTTGATGAACCTCTGAAACGATTGCCCTAAAATAATCTTTAAACCTTAAACCAAACACATTCCTGCAGTCATCTGAAAGCTGGACAATAGTTTAGCCTTAACTAGTAAACTCAGGTCTGCTGTCAGCATTATGGGTCAAATTGACAACTCTCTTGCTGCCATCGAGTGACCCTATAGAACAGGGTAGAATTGCCTGCGGTGAGTTTCTGCACCTGTAACACTTTACAGGAGTAGAAAGTCTCCTCTCTTTACCGTAGGGTCTGGTGGTTTGACACTGCGACCTTGCATTCAGCAGCCCAATGCATAACCACTGTGCTACCAGATCTCATAAATTGACAGCAGCTGAAACGATTAGCTAGGAACCTTAGCGGGTGGTGAGTTCATGTGAATGAGCAAC